CCTGATTATCTAAAGCGAAATATCCCCAAGGTAACGGTAATGTTTTAAATTTATTAATTTAAAATGTTATTTAGACGGATGTTTACTGATTTTTCTATTAACTGTTATTCATAACAATACATAGACAAGTCTGTTATTTAAGGGCGCGATTGGTGCCCATATGAACCCATATAGTCTGTCATGCCGAAAAGTGCATACATTTTGCCAGGGAGAAAATTTACAGCTTTAATCATCTCAGCAATGTTCCGGTAAGTACATCTAGCATATTGTCTTTTTCATATCAGAAAGAGACTTTATACGAGTTGCAGCAAACGAATCTGCAATTAGACTTTTCAAATGATCATTTAATTAAATACGGGAACTTTTGTTTGATAAGATTGGGTAGAAGTGTATAGTACAGAGTCGATATTATAAACTTTAGTATACCACATCAAGAATGATCACTGTTACTGAAAATAAGCTAAAAGTACTTGATTTGTTCATACGAAAAATCATAACTGTCAGCCAAATTGAACGGACTACCAAAAGCATGTAATATTCCCTCCCCACCCCAAAAAAAATCAAAGTGTTTTTAAATATTTATAATAGAAGTATGGAAGCTAGTTAACAGCACAGAAAATATTAGTCGTATAATTCTTTCTAGAAGCCGAGATGAAACGAATTTGAAGGTTTTTTTGTGTAGTTTAGGTAGCCGATACATATTAGGAACCTTCACATTTTCAGATGTGGCCTTAAGCTGAGATGTGGTAGTGCCATTATTATTTACTTTTTGACTCTCTGTGGAGCGCACCGCCTTGAATGTAAAAAAAAATTCATTCTGAAGAACTTCCGTGTAGTATTTACGTCATTCCACTACCACATTGTTGGTTGCTTTGGCGGCCGGTACGAACACAAATGCTTTGCGAGTACCTACATTTTGTTTTAATCCAAGAAATGGATGTATTACTTACTTATTTATTAATCTATGAATTATTTTCGAAATGTGATATGCGAATATCCACAATATTCAGACACTTATTCAAGTAGGAATCAAGTGACTCTTTGTCAGATTTCTCTCGTTTACACCCATTTTTACAATAGGATGAAACAGCTACCTGGTCCGGATTTTACTATACTTTAGGTCCTTTCTGGTTTGATCTTCAACGTTTGTATAAAGTTTTTGATTTTTTTTTAATATTTTGGCCTCGAGCATCACTGAAGAGACATTTATTATCAAAATGCGCATCTGGTGCAGTAAAATTGTTACATTTTGTGTTATTCTAATGAATGACGACACTCTTTCCAATTTATTTTCGACGGAGGACGATTTTTTAGTCTTTTTTTTTAGAAATTTAATAACCCTCCGTCTTGAAAAATGTTAAGGTCCCCTGTAATTACATGGCCATGGGAATCATATTTAAACTTCGATGTTTCAAGACGGGTTTTGCAGTTGATAAGGTCTGTTGTACTATCCAGTTTTGTTGGTGATCCTGTTGTCCTTTTCATGTATTATTTATAAGCTCCAAAGAGCTCCTACATAAGTTACTAATTTTCTTCAAAAGAGTTTGTTTCAACTTTATGTGATCATTATATTCTGATTGACAGAAAAGATAAACGTTTTTCAATTTGGAGTGATTTTAAATCTTTCTAATGTCATATCATTTTAAAAATTCCACTGACAAGATGCATCTAACAAAATACTTGTAGTTAGTACTGCTTTTGTCAAAAATAATTTTTTGTTATGTACAAAAAACCTAGTACTCTTGTGATCTTATGGTTTAAAGCAAAGCGCAATTATTTGGGAAACTTGACACTCTATTTCACGTGATAGGCAGGTGATGAAATATATGAAGTACACACACGCTAAGAGAATTTTTTTTATATATATACATATAACTTCATCCCAAGAGGCTGTGGTCAACTTTGTCACACAAAAACATTTTTCCTTGTGATTTAAAAATTTTTTTTTTTAACATTAGTTGGTTAAAAAGTATGTATTTACGATCAAACTAGCTGAAAATATCTGAAGACCCAAACAGCTTCTGTTATTGTTTTCAACCTCAAATAGTTATAATTTCACTAGCGGCGTGTTGTCACAGTCTTAGATCGTTATATACCAAAATAGTCGTCTGATATGTATTTTTACTGTTTGTGTCCTTTTATCGACTTTTTGACTGAGTGTGGATTTGCATGGCGGTTGTGCATGCATAGACGTATCTGGACTCGCTCCTTTTTTGAGTTCGTGCGATTATCTACGTTTTTGTTTGTGCCCTTGATTTGTATACACACACACACACACACATATATATATATAAATGCACATGCATGTTTCTCAGCATGTTTCTAGTAAAGTTACGACACGTTCCGTTTTCTTTATTTTACACAAATACGTTTAAAATCAGTATATTCTCAATTGTAAGGAAATCAATAGATATAGGAAGACGTGGTATGAGTGCCAATGTGACAACTCTCCATCCAAGTAACAATTTATAAAAGTAAACCATTATAGGTCAAGGTACGACCTTCAACACGGAGCATTGGCTCACACCGAACAGCAAGCTATAAAGGGCCCCAAAAAATTACTAGTGTAAAACCATTCAAACGGAAAAACCAACGGTCTAATCTATATAAAAACGAGAAACGAGAAACACGTATATATGAACTACATAAACAGACGACAACTACTGTAATCAGACTCCTGACTTAGGACAGGTGCAAACATTTGCAGCGGGATTAAACGTTTTAATGGCACCAAACCTTCTCCCTGTTTGAAACAATAGTATAACATCACAACATAGAAAAACACACTATAAAATATCAATTGGAAGGCTTAACTCAATCAAAAAACGTAAATTAACACACAATGAACGAATAAATTTGACCTGTGACACCTGAATGCAAATACACAGTTAATAAAAAATTACAAAGGATAAATAATTAAAGTCAAAAGTAAATAAACAGGTTTAAACAAAGTTAAAGTATGATATCACTGTGAAATTTCAAACAATTTATAGAAAATCATCACTTTTGAAGAAACCTGCGTCTTATTATACACAGGTAAATGAAAATAATTTTGTTGTTAAGTATACTTCTTCTTCTGTGTGTATAAAATCTTCCGTTTAGGAATACCAAGAAATTTCTTTAATACCAATAAAACTAATCTAACACTTGGTACATATGGGGTGAATATCAACAATAAAAATATACAATTAGTGCTATATAAAATGAATATCAACAATAAAAATATACAATTAGTGCTATATAAAAAAACCTGTACAGGTCCAAGAACAGCATCTAAGGAAAAATGAAATAATTTTGATGTTCATAGTACGAAGAAGTGAAAATTTGTAGTAATTAAATACCAAATAATCAAAGCTGGTATATAGACAAGATCCATGTTAACATGAAATAACAAAAAAGCATTACAAATAGTATCAACAGGTCAAATTAAAAGAAAGTACGATTTGAGAGTACTCGCAGTTACTGACAGCTAGTTAAAAGCCAAAACAATTAATAATAAAAAATCATGCATCAGAGACTAAGATCAACTAAAATACATCCCAGGGATTTAGTATTTTAACGTCATGAACAGTGAAAGAAGACATGACTTGTGCAATGCCAAAAATAAATGTATCGATAGGTAGTAGGATAGTTAGGAGTGACTTCTTTATAGATAAAATTGAACGTGTGTGTGTCTCTATACGTCCCGTTTGAAAAGAAAATACAAATTTAGTTATGTTTTAATTTGCTAATGACAAAATCGATAGGAGTGACTTCTTTATAGATAAAAATGAACGTGTGTGTGTGTCTATACATCCCGTTTGAAAAGAAAATACAAATTTAGTTATGTTTTAATTTGCTAATAACAAAATCGATATTAGTGCCAATGTAAACTATATTCAGAGATCTAATTACAACATTGGTACGATAACCCTTACTAATAAGTTTGTTTAAAGGTTCGATGAGTTTACACGGATCACATAATGATTTCCGCGCTTTAAGTACAATATTACCATAAAATTTAGGATGTGAAATACCATTTTTAATAAGTTTTCTACAGGTACAGCCAAATTTACTAATCAAATCTTTGTATCTATGAAAGAATTTAGTAAATGTTTTAAGTAATTTATGGTAACGAAATCCCTGACTTAATAATTTACCAGTGATGCATTGATTACGTTCGTTAAAATCTATGACATCACTACACACACGGGCATACCGCACGAGTTGGGATATATAAACACCGTATGATGGAGGCAAAGTCACATCGCCGTCTAAAAAAGGAAAATTAACAATAGGGAATGAAAAATCGTCTCTTTTGTTGTAAATTTTAGTATGGAGTTTCCCTTTAGAAATTGAAATGTTTAAATCTAGAAAAAGGACAACTGCTGCTGTTTATGTTAGATTTAGTTAAAGTAAGTTCTTTTGGGTAAATTTCGGTAGTATATTTAGAGAACTCTGGATTATTTAACGAAAAAATATCATCCAGATAACGGTAGGTATTGTTGAATGTATCAACCAAATGTAACAATGATGTGTCTCTACTGAGTTTGGTCATAAACTGAGATTCATAGCAATACAGGAATAAATCTGCTATTAAAGGGGCGCAGTTAGTGCCCATAGGAATACCTACTACCTGACTATACACTTTATCGCCGAAACGTACATATATGTTATCTAGGAGAAAATTTAAAGCTTCAATCATATCCTCACATTTCCAGTAAGTGTATCTAGCATACATTTTAAGACTATAAAGATTTTTTAAACACTCCTACAAATATGTTTATAACTATAGTAAAGTGTTTGCACAGAAAATTCACAAGGCTATCCAATAAATATAATGCCACCAGAGGACATCATACTGAAGTGCGAGGATCCATTATTTAACCATGTACAAAAGATGAAATAAGTATCGTTTGAACGATTGCACAGAACCTTCTTTAAAATTCCAACGAAGGTAAGTCGCATATAAGGAATTAAAAATTAATTCCTATGAAAAAAATATTTTGACAGGTTGTTTCAATTTTGATGCAGACAGTAGTATTTTCAACGAGCTAAATACAACAAACGTAAGCTCGTATGTTTGTGCGTCGTATTGCAAGGATGACCAGTACAAATACTTGGGCATGACGGTAAATATAATTATATTCATCTAGAAAATATTCAGATTATTATACCTTTCGTTGATAACCTATTTTTGTTTTGAACTGGATTATTTTACCGTTGCCGTCCCATGCTTGAATATTCAAATTAGAAATCTACAGGTTTAATTTCTTAAATGAAAAAAACAAAAATGATTTAGGTATAATCTGATTGATGCTACGGATATTATGTTAATTGATCTTTATTCTCTTCACATGGACATACATAGCGGACAAAAGTAGTTAATCTATATAAACAGTGTATGTTTGTTATCTGGTAAACTTATAAATTTTTTTTACCCAAATACGATTGTACACTAATAATCATAGTCAAATGTACAATCGATACAATATGTACAAATACATCTATGAAAATTAAAAATTGATATTGTTAAAACAAAAGGCATAAAAATATTTGTACTCATTAGAGTAACTATACTTTGGAAGATCCTTAACTATAGATTTTAATATTACAAAATGTAATTAAGAAAATATTAAGCGAATGTTTGCTAATAGAGATTTACAATAACTGTCAGACTCGGAGTCCGAGTACGAGTCCGACTACAAATCATACAGGTAAGCTAGTGGGTTGATCTCAAAATATTGTGTACGCTAATTAATTTTACCGCGTTCAATCTTTGTGTGGTAATAGAACAAAACTATTTATCAAATTAACTGACTTTTTTTACTGAAGGGTAGAAATTGCGTTTTTCCGTTAAGATGAGAAACATGTTTTTAATCAAATGCCCTTTATATTCACATGCACTTGACAAGAGCTTTTTACTAGAGTAGTTTCATTTAATAGTGGTTTTTTAGACTTAATGGATAATGAAAAATTTATATTCTTATTTACAAATGAAAATTTGTGCTTTTATTCTGCCAAAATCTGCCATGATATTTTAATTCAAAGGAAGAATTTTTTAAACAGATAAAAAAAGTGTTTTTTTATTTTTATCGATTTGTCCATTTCTATGTAAAAGTCTCTCATAACTCTTTTGAGAGTGGCTCTCGAATGTTTTTAAGATTGTTTTGTACTTTTAATTAAAACAAGCTGTAGATATTGTATTCATGTTTTTATTGTACATGTAGAGAGGTGAGACTATAATAAAATATTTGATTTGATTTGATTTGATCCGTTTAAGCTCGATAACATATATGTTCAGAATTTAAAAACTTTCACGACAAAAAAAATATTGCGTCAGTTATATGATTTTTTTACCGATTACATTAAAAAAATTATATAAAGTTCCTTCTACATAAGGAAATGCCCGTACCAAGTCAGGAATATGACAGTTGTTTTCCATTCGTTTGATGTGTTTGAGCTTTTGATTTTGCCATTTGATAAGGGACTTTCCGTTTTGAATTTTCCTTGGAGTTCGGTATTTTTGTTATTCTACTTTTTCCTGACGAATTATTTAAAAGAGAATTAAATAATTATTGTTCAGTTTTTTTAATTATTTTTTTTATTTGGGACCATTTGTTTCCACTGTGTATAGTCTTGGAGAATAGTACATATTGAGCCCTTAAAGTGCGATGTAGATATAAATATGTTCGTTTGCTGGAGATTTAATCTGGTGCGCACCAGTTAGAAAAATCGTGCGCACGAGTATCAACGATTTTTAAACTGGTGCACACGACTTTAAAACTGGTGCTCGCGACTTTCAAACAATGGGGCGCACGACTTTTAAACTTGTGTGTACTACTTTCAAACTCGTGCGCTCGACTTTCTAAAAGGTGCGCAAGTTCGTATAGAGTCAGTCAAACTTTGTTTGAAAGTCATGTAGACGCGTTTTAAAGTCGTGCACACCAGTCAGTTTTGAAAGTCGTGCGCACCAGTTTTAAAATGTCGTGCGCACCACTTTTAAATTCATGCGCACCAGTTATAAAATAGTGCACACGAGTTTCAAAGTCGTTCGCACGATTTTTCAAACTTGTGCGTGCAAGATTAAAACAAAAATATTTATATTTACATTGCACTTAAGGGGCTCCGCAGTAATGCATACTCCTGTTCGCATTGATTTTGATGATAATAAAAGAACAGAGTTCCAATGTCCCTCGCGTTTCACATATTTCATCTGTCCAAGGGCAATACCAAATTTTATAAAAACCTGGCAAGAATTGTACACGTGAGAGCTCTTATAATGCAATTTTCTATATAATTTATATTTCCAAGAGACATATAACTAAAAATAGTTGATCAACACTGATTTTCGAAGTGTCCGAAACATTCCTAATATAAACCTTTGATAAAAATTTTATGAAAAAACTGGCAAAAATTGTACATACAGGCAAAAAAATGTTATTTTATTTTTGGAATAGTCATTAGGTTTTCTGTATGATTGTTTTACGGGTGCCACATGTGGAGCATAATTTGACATCATTGAACCAACACAGTCTTATCATTTTCAGATGAATCTAAATCAACTCCGAGGCTTTTAAAGAATTTTGGAACCTGTTTTGTAATAAATGATTTGTATCTTTCATGGTTACTGCGAACCAATTGCATTAATGATTTTTTTGTTCTTTTTTTTCGAGGGTTTTCTTTTCTTGCAGCTCAATTTACAAGAGAATGAAAAATATTATCTGCAGTTCTGACTGTAGCATTATGTGTGGCAATTTCTTCAGCTTTTACTGTAGCATCGCCTGCATTTATATCGGTATTATCAGGCCCGTTATCCACGTTTTGAAGTTCAGGTTCCTCTACTGCTTATACAGGAGTGGGTGGCTCCTGATCCTCGTCACGAGAAATTATAGGTTGAATTATTTCATCAGCCATACACGACATATCCCAGACAGCAGATAACCAGAAAGCCGGAACACAAAGTGTACGAGGATCAACAGACTCATTGCAGAATACCGAATCTCCGTTGAACATGTTATTGGCGAATTGAAATGCTATACAGTCATGGAACCCGTTGAAGGCTTCTTCGTCACACACACTTAAAGCCCTAGTTAAAGTTTGTGGTAATCATTGTTTTGTCTCCTCTATCTGGAAATCGCGATACATCAAACACTTTCGCAACTGCATCCTTGCTTCCAGATGGATTATTATCTTCGTATAAAGAAATTCTGATAAGCGAGAGTCTTCAATGTTTTTCAAAGCTATCATGATGGCACTAAGCTTTGTGTAATCTGGTTTTAAGGTGTTTAAAATGTGATATGACTCTTTGTTTAATTCAAACATAAGAAGTTATAGGTAAAATTTCTTGATCTTGATTGACAACATAATTATTTTACTTTACGACAAATGATTTGACTTCTGCTTTTCAATTAAGAGCTTTCCTTTTCTATGGAGCAACATTCCAACAGCGCCTGCACATGGAGTATATATCTCCCAGTTGATACGATATTCCAGCGCTTTCATTTCCTATCATGATTTCCTTGATAAAGGGTTGCTGCTTTCAAGGATGCTATTAAACAAAGGGTTCCAAGTGGTGAAGTTGAAATCATCCCTTCGAAAATTTTACGGACGCCATCACCAGTTGTTGACCGTTATGGAATCTCTTTTTCACAGATGACGACGGATATATTCCAATGGTCATAACCATAATCCCGTCCTCTTTTCCTCGAGTGACAACAAGAATTTGACTTATTACAGAATTTGTACTTTGAGCAATACGACGGATACGACAGGTTAAGCATGTTAAAACATTTTACCCTTCCGGAGCACCCGAAGTCACCACCGGACATGATGCCGTCTGACATTGCAGGTGTCCCTTTATCACCAAAAATGACAAATAAATCGAATGCGATACATTCAGATCATCACAGTAATGACAATAGTAATAATCTGTCTCATTCGAAATGTAAATTCGAAAACTGCAAAACCTATGAAATTTTAAAAGCAGATGTTCAATTTTCTAACAATTTAGCTAAAACATTTTACTATATCAGGAGCTACGATTATCTGGATTGTAAAAAAAAAACACAATCGTTTCTACACATTAGAAGGCAACCTTTGCAGATTGGTATATTTCGGTTAAACGAGAGGATGGGCTAATAAACGTATGTACGGCCATAGATCAGACATAAACGACAATGCAAGTGACATTGTTTATCAACTATTTAATCAGTCTGATCATTCAATCCTTTCTATGCGAGATCGCATCATCGAAAAAAAAATAAATCACAGGACTAACAATCCTCATCTAGCAACACCTTCCCTAGACAAAAGAAAGACTACCGGGTTTGAGAATTGGAAACTGCGACACCATATGGTTGCAATGACACGATTGGTGGTATAGGTAAGGGTCTTCATGGGGTTTACAGATTAGAGAAGAATGGACCAATACTACAGAAAAATTGGGGGAAAAAAAATAAAAAATAGAGAATAATGGGTGCTAAAATATAAAGAATAGAGAATAATGGGGTGCTAAAATATAAAGAATAGAGAATAATGGGGACGCAATCATGGTCATCGGCATTATACATCTCATGCTCTCTTTTAATCACCTTTTGCCTTTGATACTGAAACCGTTAGGTATTCATCAAATCCGCACAATGCGTTTTTCTCTACCCCTTTAAAAACACTGTCACAAATCCTCTTTCAAACCAATACAACCTGACAGCTATCATTTTGGATATTGCAAGTTACTGACTTTTCAGACCGTTTCACGATTGAAAAAGATGAAACGAAAAAAGGTCCGGTATAATTTTTACTATCAACTAAAATAACTTTTTTGTTGGCGTCTTTGTTAGATTTATTTGTATGTTTGTTTGCATTTTATTGTCAGTTGTATTCGGTGTCTGTGATGTATGGTAAACAGTTTTGGCTGCTGGATCCCAATTATTGTCACATTAACTTATTATGCCTCACGCAAATTTTTCAATATAACGGAACTATAAGCAACTGCCATACAAGTGGGAGGTTTAGCTAGCTATAAAACCAGTTTTAACTCATTATTGTCTTCGGAAAATGCCTGTACCAAGTCAGCAATACAACAGTTGTTTTCAATTTGATCCATTTTAATATAAAGTCTAACGTTTAATTCTATGGACTTCCCCCTTTTTGAATTTACCTTGCAGTTCGTATTTTTGTTAATACTTTTTTCCTATGCCAACAAAGATCTCGATGCCATAAACTAAGGAAACATCCTTTTTCATTAATCAGTTCAATAGAAAAACCTCTCTTTAAAGATCATCTTTAATACCTATACTAAACCAATTGCGACTAAAATGTGTTCTCTGAAGGCCCGTTATATCGTGAACATAAATCCATCAATTGGAAAACAACTTCAAAATACTGATCGATTCAGTGAGGAATTATGTAAGGTAATGGGCCAAATTAAGGCGACAGTATTTACCGACGTTTAAACCTCATAAATAGACAAAGGAGACAAATCAAGGTAACAAACAGAAACTGAGGGAATCGCTTGAACCCCAAAAGGAGCGAGATCGGGTGCGTCGGCAGGGTAAGCGTCTCCTGTTATCCACGCATCACCCGCTATGCGAATTCACACTAAGTAAAAATGTCATTAGGACACAATCGGTAAAATTACATATCAGAAGACTATATTGGTATCTAAAAATCTAAGACAACGAAAATATGTCGCTAGTGAGTTTCTCCTCGTAATTCTGTAAGAGCAGTTTTAGTGTTAGGAACACACCACTGTTAATGAAGTCCGTATAGTGTGAGCGTAACGTATTAACTGATATATGTAAATACAATATAATGGAGCAGAGGGTGTGTTACTGCTGAGAAATGGAAAGTTGACAATTGGAAATTTGAAATCATCACGTTTGTCGGTTTGAAGTCGTCCTTCTGTGTCAATATCTAGAAAACGATTAAGATATGAAGCAGTTTTCTTCTTTCGGTAGTAAACTTAATTCCAAGTTGACTGGGATATATGAGATGTAAGCACTCATTGACATATTGGTGGTTATTGAGTGTCATAACATCATCAATATATTTGAAAGTGAATATAAAGATCTTTGCAAAATGCTTTATCTTTTTGTCTTCTGTATGAATTCCGCTACATGTGAGTACAAAAACAAGTCGGCCAGTATTCGTGCACAATCAGTATCCACTGGAATACCGACTGTATGCTGAAATATCCTTCCCCAAACTTAACAAATTTGGTGACGATAAAAAAATCCAGCATTTTGATGATTTCAGGTATATTGTGTCTTACAAAATTAGCTCTTACAAAATTTTGGAAATTATCTTAAATTAAGGAATATATTCCTCTCATGCAAAGTTCTGATTCCTTGCCTGGGTTTGGCTATACTTTTTTGTAATTTTTGGGTTATGATCAGCTCTTAATTTTGTAATAAGGTTTGGATTTTTAGATATTCTGGCCTCGAGTATCACCGAAAAGACATTTATTGTCGAAATGCGCATCTGGTGCAGTAAAGTTGGTACCTTTAATGTTATTAATGCCGAACTAATTCGTATTTTTAGATGACACAGTGCTATTGTTTACTAAATGACGACGAAGCTACTAATTACCAAGCATATGGTCAATGTAATGAGACGTGTCCTGGAAACCAAGCAGAAACGTGTGGCAGTAACAACAATATCATTTTATACAGAAAAGGTAAAATTGCGTTTTATTGTAAAAGTCTTAACCTTTGCTATTGTTATAATTACTCCCCCCCCCCCTTTTCCCCAAGAATGTCATAGTTTTGATAGGCTTACGCCCAACGAAAGACCTCATAAAGTTGAATCAAAAGCTTTATTTTTTGTAATTATTTCCTATATATGATATAATTTTTGGCCAAAGTAACGAGTTAATGAATCAAGACGCTCCACAACTACCATTTTTGAAAGAAATATTATGAAATATTTCTATAAAGACTTTATTGCTAATAGTCACTGCACACACGCACGAACTTACTGAGAAACATTTAAGTTGAGAGGAAAGGAAAATGTGTTGCTTTCAATATCAATGTCGACAGTAATAGATTGTTAAAAAAATTCTGCTAGGCTTTCTTGTAATAGGTAATTTAGTATTGTTAAAGTATGGAGGTACAAGTTTTTGAATCTTTTCATTTTTTATTTGGAAAATAGGTGAATAATTAATACTGGATAATAGTAAATTTTTGCAGTCATCATTTTATTTATTTCTAGCATAATAAAATATACATTTAGAAAGAAAATACAGATTTTCGATTGACTTGAACATTGACTTCAATGTTGAATTTTCTACTTAAATGTTTTATATTGTAAGGAGAATTGGACAGATATATCGTTTGGAAATCGATATTAAACTTCGTATAATTAATTACTGGACTAAAAATGGTAAATATATAGTATATAAAGAAAAACGTTCGATTTGAAAAAAAATCGTATTGTATTGATAAATGGATTACGTTATTGGCTGTGAACATTACAATTTTACACTGACAGCAACAATCGCATGCGAGACACTGGGTTCCTTTTTTTGTTTTTTTTTTTGATATATTTGCATTTAGGTATCACCAGCATATGAGGTTTATGTAGCCTAGGTGCAACGATATTCCAGAACTTATCTTTATTATCAGATGTCACGAATGACCACGAATATTTCAGCAGCCTTAACCACAATGCCGTCCATCTTTCCCTAGTTTATGTATATACATTTTACGGTTGAGGCATATTTTGGTAACTTAAGACCTGCTTATACCTTTATTTGGAACCGAAGAACAAAAGTATGTTCTCTAAATTTCAATTTGATTCACATGACATATTAAGCTAGATGTTTGTGATAGAATGTATCAGTTATATATATATCAGACATTATTTATTAATGGGATAACAATAGTTAGTTTTGTCTTAATACACACACACACACACACACACACACACATGATCGGACAATATTTTGGTAAGTTAAATATTTAGAGTATCAACAATATCGTTTCTTTCTTAGACTAATATCAACGCTTTTTTTACAGTTGACAAGTTGAAGGACAATCCAAGCAGTGATGACATTTTTCGTCAGACTTTCCAATATGGCCCTTATGGAGTTAGAATCCAACAAAAAAAGAAAGATAGCGAGATATTTTTCTTCTGTGAATATGGTAGTCTTTATCACTCAAAATTTAATTTAATTTTGGAATTTACTTATTACTTTTATACAGTAAATAAGCATTATAATTAGTAACTTCATTTCGTTTGTAAACAACTTGTTGATATTTGTTTCCAATGTCGAATTTTACAACCTTTCATTATTGCAATCAATAGAATAGATGGATAAAATGTTTATTATTCCCAATAAACCATATAGAAACGGTTATTTGAAGAACACAAAAACAAAACCTGGACAAAGAAAAAAAAAAGAAAAGAAAAGAAGCCTATAAGATATTATCTGGTTGAACATGTTCCTGGCTTTGCCAGGTAGTAAAAAAAATAATTTGAAGTCATACGAGAGTGATGCCGTGCACAGGAGATGCTTTTTGTGTTCATAAATTCAGATTGTTGTCACTCCTATTTCTGTCTATTATACATCTTGGTAATTGAATTAATATCGGCTTGCTTTCTTTATGTTGATAAAGTTCTAGATAATAAGCAGACCTTCTGGTCTTTAATTTTGATGAATTAAATTTCAATTTTGCAGATCAAATAATCTAAATGTGACAGTAAACATTCAACAACTGATTTTTTTAATTCGGAATAACCGAAATAGACAATTAGAGCAAACATTCGTAGTTAAGGGATCACAAAATAAACTAAAATTTGAATCTTTCTCTTATTGTTTATAATTTTCATATATATGTTGTAGTGTAGTCAACTCCTTTTTTGGAAAGAAAATTCACTTGTCTGCATTTTTATTCCATCTATGATATGACCTGAATTAACTTATCGATTATTAATATAAAAGTAAGAAGATGTGGTATGATTGCCAATGACCAAATGCCGTAGAAGTTAGCAATTGTAGTTCATTGCCTTGAAATACAAATGTAAATTAATTCAAAACGAGATAACTAAAGGCCTCATTTATGCTCCAAACATATAACGAAAAACAAATATAATATACAACAAACGACAACAAATGAATTGAAGGCTCCTTGCTCATACAGAATATGGCGGGGTTAAACATGTTTGCGGGCGCCCAACACTCCCCATTACCTGAGGCAGTTTTGTATCAGCACAACCTAACAACAAGCAATAAAAATCAGTTGAAAAGCCCTTTTCAACTAATTTCAACAAAGCACAAATGCAACTCGCAAAACCACCAATTATTCAAAGTATAAATCTGAGAGTACTCGCAGTAACCGAAAGCTAGTTCAGAGCCAATAACAACTAATAAAAACTCATGTATATAGGACTAGGATCAGTACTCATCCAACCTCCGCTATTATCTACTATTTAGTGGGTTTTAATTTATTGATAATTAAATCAACATGTATACAGATAAAACAATATTTAAGATCTAATGGCAGTGTTAAATTTGGTAACTTTTTAGAATAAGTTTATTTAAAGGATCGATAAGTTTACCCGGTTCGTATCTTAATTTACGAGCTCAATAAACAACAACAGTGTAAACATTAGGATGTACTATCCCATTCTTAATAAGTTTTTCTACAGGTTCAGCAAACTTCCAAACCAAATATTTGTATCCATGAAAGAATTTAGTAAAGGTTTGAAGTAATTTGAGGTAACAAAATCCCCAACTTGATAATACACCAGTTATACAAGGATTACGTTTATTGAAATCTAAAACGTCACCATAAGCACGGGCACGGCGAACGGTTTGGGATATATAAACACCGTAAGATGGAACCAAAGTAACATCACCGACCAAAAAAGAAAAAATTAACAATAGTGAACGAAAAATCGTCTTTTTAGTCATACATTTTTGTGTTGTGTTTCCCTTGTAAAAGTGAAATAACCAAATCTAGGAAAGGACAGTTATTGTTGTTTAAATTTGATTTTTTTGCCATCACTTGGCATCCGTCGTCTCAGTTCGTCACCCATCCGTCGTCTCAGTTCGTCACCCATCCGTCCCTCCTTTAAATAGTTCGAGCAAAACAGAGAGGGTAAACATGATTAACTCATGTTCTCAACTTGGTACTTTATTTGACCTTTTAAATTGTTTTTTATTCGAGCGTCTCTGATCTGTATTTTATAAGAACATAAGGAGTAGAAAATTATAAACCAGTTATCTTTGAAGAGTTTTCTTTATGGTCGAAATCGTCAATTGACCCCTAAGAGGATTATTTGCCTTTGAAAGACGATTTTGCGTTTTTTTGTTGTTGCGGAAACTGTAATACATAGAGAAAAACAATAAATAGCAAAAAACTTTCAGTACAATAAGATCGTCAAACAAGTCAACATGGCCGAAATAGTCAACTGATATAGGGAGTTATTTCCTCTGAATGATGATTACCGATGTTTTTGCATTTTTGTCAAAAACCATAGTAGATAGAGAGAAACTTTAAACGCAAAATAGATCAGCAAAGTAACATTTATATGTATGTCAACATGGCTAAATTGTCAGACTCTGATAGGATTTATTTGCCCTTAAATGACGGTTTTTACTATTTTTTATCTCAAAATCTTTAATAGATAGGTAGAAACTGTGAACAGTTAAAATAACCATCAATATAAGATCTACAAAATATCACTTTAGACATTTACTAATAAGTCAAGATAACTGATCGCATAAAGGTAAAAATACAAATCAAAATGGTATATATTTATCAGGTGAGAAATTCAGGCTCTTGGGTAAACATACAAATCAAACGCACAAAATAAAGCGCAAGTTTGATAATACCTTAAAGTATATTGTTTAACACAGGGGTTTCCTTCGCAGACGTTACAACAATCAGTGCTTTAGAAAATACTTTGATTTCTGAAAATGAATCTTGGAATGGTAAGTACCTTCATCAATTCCAATGAGTCAATATAAACAATTAAAAATTTGAAAATAATATTATTATTAAAAATAATTGCATCAACAAATTGGGAAAACTGATCAATGATACCAGGTTTATAACTTGGTATTGCAGATTCGCGTTTCGTATTCACAAGACTTATCATTGGCACTCGAATCAAAACAGTTCAAAAACAAGACCCAATACAAAGCTGAAGAGCATTTATAACCGAAAATTCCGAAAAGTTGTGCCTCATACGGCTACGGCAATCTATACCTTGGGGTAGAGCACCTTAGTGTTATGAATAGTTCACTATGTAATATATAATATATTTGCAAAACCGATCAGTAATCCATTGTTTTGAAAACATAGATGACAACAGGAATTTAGATCTTTTCAACATAACTGTGATTGAATAACTGAAAAATAGTCCTCTGCTCTGTAGATAAACTATTTAAATGCGCTTATCAAAACGGTTATAATCATTTATTTTTAGGGCTTGAAATTGGAGTTGGTGTAGGAGTAACAATAATACTTGTCATTGGTATTGTAGTATGTGTGTACTGCCAATTAAGGTAACAATTTGTCTGCAAGAAAGAGAAATATTCTTCAAATTAACAAGATAAGGAAATCCAGCAGCCAAAAAAAAAACAACCCCATAAACAAGACCATAAACCTATAACATCATAGCAAAAAGAAAACATATAAAAAACAAAACAGTAGACAGACAAACAACAAAACACCAACCAAATCAACACATCAAAATACTACACAAACAACGAAACACTTTACAGACAAACAGCAAAACATTAACCAGACAAACAGCAAACATTAACCAGACAAACAGCAAACATTAACCAGACAAATAGAAAAACATTTACCAGACAAACACAACAAAACACGACATTACACATACAAACAGCAAAACACTAACCAGGAAACAACAAATCACTACGTAAACAACGAAACACTATAGAGATAAATAACAAAACACTACACACACAAGCAGCTAAACACTACACAAACAAACACATTAGAACACTACACAGACAGACAAAGAGCAAACCACTAACCAGACAAACAGCAAAACACAAACCAGATAAACACAACAAAACACTACACAAACAAACAAATAGCAAAACATCACACATGTAGTCAAACAACGAAACACTACATCTTATATAAGTTGGAATCATGCCAACCCAAAACCACTTGCCACTGAGCTGGTGATACGTTCGGGGACTAAAAGTCTATCAGTAGCGGTAACGACCACAAGTTGTATGAAATGAATGCTAAGTAATCAACTCTTTGTATGCACTAGACCCAATTTTCTTTTGATAGTTTAAGTGTACTGTTCACATGGGATCATGGGCATACTTTGACGATGATAGGTCGAAATGAAGTTTGTTCGATGCGTGGGTCATTTTTGTATAAAACACTTTAGTTTTCAAAAAGATCTTTTAAAATAGTATAAAGCTGCTTGATTATTTCATCGAAATATTTGTTAAACATGGTTTTACAACAGGCAGTTCTCCTTTCTATGGGGACCAAATGTTCTCCTCCATTCGTCGATCTGTTTTTGTTTACATGGGACAGACCTCAACAAATGAACATTCTCAATGAAATGATTTTCCTTTAACATCACGTTCCGGCATATAAATGATTGTTGTTAATTTATCGATTCGTTACCCTTGCAATTGAAATGAAGAATATCATAGCTTCATGCTTGCATCCAAAAATCGTTAGTTAGGAACGGCTAAGACTTAGCAACAAAAATTCAGCCATCATTAACTTTAAAAAAAAATTTTGTAGAGTCTACAAAAGCCAGACAAAGCGAGCCTACATTCCAACGTGGGCGTTTTCGGCACGTTATATATCAATAACTTTAGAATAGAATAGCTTTTCCGTGATCAAAAAACAGTATGTAGAGCAAAATTTTGATAATCTATCTTTTTTCAATTTTCCTGTATTTTTCTGATATAAGGTCCTATGTTAATATTTGCAGTTAACATTTAGAAATAGTCAGGGGTTCAAGTTTTATAGACAATAATAATTTTGTCAAACTGTCATAGAATTTTATGAAAGTTTGGCAGAAGCTTTTTGTGCATATTCCATTTAGTTTGGTTCAATAATTGAGATGTATGAGAATGGGGATATGCATTTCAGATATCTAAAGCATTTGAAATCTGATATTATGACATGACATAATGCTTACTTTTAGACATAAGAAGAGTGTTGATGTAAAACAGAAAAATTATGAGAACCCCCGTACTGGTGACGCTCCAGTTGTTACTGCTTATGAAATACCATGGTCAGAACAAGAAGATTTAAATCCCCCGTGGTCAGAAGACAACAGTGTTGACCATAATATTTACGACCATGCTTCTCACAAGGTACACCGAGAAAACAACGATTTCATGGTATACGATATGGCAGACAAAATAAATGATGAATACAGTATTACTGTCTTTAGAAAACAACAAGTTGATCCTGGATGTCAACAAAGCCAGAGTAACGAGTATCAACTTGATGATTATGACACCTGCGCAAGTGTAGAAATAGAAATACAATAGTCAAATTACATTTTTCATTATTGAAACGATTATCTTAATGAAAACCTTATTTTTTCTATAATGCAAATTGGTGGAAGATATTTGATCGAAAAATATCGGACGTTTAATCGCCAAGGTATAACCATTTGATAGCGCCCGATTCTTAACCAACATTAGCGATAGCTAAAATTATCTATATAAAAATAAGGAGATGAGGTATGATTGCCAATAATCAACTATCCACCAAAGTTCAAATAAAGTGGATGTAAGCAAATATAGGCTACCGTACGGCCTTCAACAATGAAAAAACCCATACCGTATAGTCTGCTATAAAAGGCCCCGACATGAAAAATATGAAATAATTCAGTTGAGAAAACTAACGGCCTAATTTATAACAGAACAATTAACGAAAAACAAATATGACAGACGTCAACCAACGACAACCATGCACTGAACTACAGGCTCCTGACTTGGGAAGCACATATAAATGTGGCGGGGTTAAATATGTTTGTGAGCTCTAAACCCTCCCCTAACCTGGGACAGTGGTGTAACAGCACAACGTAAGAACAAACTATAACAATCAATCAGTTGAAAAAGGCTTAACTCGTTAGATCGATACAAAGCAGAACAATATCAAACATAACACAGACTGGACGTGACAGGGTATATATCCATCCCTCATCCCTAACAACAAAAAGGACACTAAGTACAGATCTGAGAGTACTCGCAGTTACTGACAGCTAGTTCAAAGCCAATAACAGCTAAAAAAAATCATGTATTTAAGACTAAAATATCAATCAGTACACATCCAACATCCAATGGATTTAGTGTAAAGACGTCATTAACAGTCAGAGAAAAACATGACCTTGTGCAGTGCCAAAATAAAGGTGTCGACAGATTGTAGTACCGTTAAAGTGCATATGTGTCTAACAAAACTATTTAGTATGATTTTTATTAACTGATAACAAAATCAATATTTATACCAATAAAACAATATTCAAAGATCTAATTACAGTGTTGAATTGGTAACCTTTAAGCATAAGTTTATTTAAAGGATTGATAAGTTTACCCGGATCGTATATAAATTTCCGGGCTCGGTAAACAACACCGTAAAATTTAGGATGTGGTATTCGGAATTTAGACGAGTCTTTACTGAGTTTGGCCATAAACTGTGATTCATAACAGTACAGGAAAAAGTCTGCTATTAAAGGGGCACAATTGGTGCCCATAGTAATACCTACAATCTGTTGATAAACTTTATTGCCGAAACGTACATAAATGTTGTCAAGGAAAAAAAAATTATGGCTGTAATCATCTCATCACACCTGCAGTAGGTATATCTAGCATATTTACCTTTCTCGTTTGAGAAAAAGGCTTTATATGAGTTGCAGCAAATAAATTTGCCATTAGATTTATCGAACGACCATTTAATTAAATAGGAAAAATTTTGTTTGATAAGATTATGTGGAAGTGTTGTGTAAAGAGTGGAAAAGTCAAATTTGTCAACCGAATCAATAGGACAATGAAAAGCACGTAATTTATCTAAAACATCCAAAGAATTTTTTACATTCCAAAAATGGTTAATTCCACTATTTTCATATGTTTTATTACAAAAATTAATGAACAGTTCTTTGATAGTAGTTAAGGAACTCGTTAAAAGCACTGAAATTCTAATAGTAGAACATTTACTAGAGGCCGAGATGAAACGATATTTTACGTTTTTTTTGTGTAGTTAAGGTAAAAAATACATAGTGGGGACCTTCAAATGTTCAGAAGAGGCCTTAAGCTGAGCTGTGGTTGTGACATGATTATTTACTATATGACTCTCTGTGGAGCGTACAGCCTTGAATGTAGTTGAATGTGTAATTTCATTCTTAAGGACTTTCGTGTAGTATTTACGTCATACCACCACCACATTGTTGGCTGCTTTGTCGACCGGTACGAACACAAATCGCTTTGCTAGTACTTGAATTTTGTTTTTACTTACTTAATCTTTTATTTATTTCTAAATTATTTTCGAAATGTGATATGCGAATATCAACAATATTCAAACATTTATTCAAATAGAAATCAAGTGACTTTTTGTCAGATTTCTCCCGTTTACACCATTTTTTTTACAATAGGATAAAAGCATCTTTAATAACCTGACGACACTCTTCCCAATTTATTTTTGACGGTGGACGATATTTTTGTCCTTTTTTCAGAAAGTTTATAACATCTCGGTCTTGGACGATATTGAGGTCTCCTGTAATTACATGGTCATAGGGATCATATCTAAACTTTGATGTTTCACAGTCTTGTGTCGAAGGAGCATTATTTTCTATACTGACGTCTGATGTAACAGACGTATAATTAAAAATTAAACTTCTGCTGGGTTCTTTATACGAATAAGAAATTATAGATGGCTCTATGTTATCAAAATATGGAGGTACAAAGTTTTGAAGGGGAGAGTCATGAAAAATACTAGATAAATTTATAAAATCAATACCTCTATATTATGATCTGCAAATTTGTCAATTTGAGGGAACAGTCTTTGGTGACAAAAGGCTGTAATAATTCGCGTACACTCATATTGTGGAGTGAAAAACGATACTGTATCACACTCGTTATAAATATTATGTAATTTACTAATTGGTATTTGACCCAGTTTACGTAATAATTGAGGTCTACCATTATATTTAAATAAAGATAAAAAAATCATCAAGTGTAAGATTAGAACGATGTTTATTTCGTTGATTGCGGTTAATGCGTTTGCCATGAGACCTATGATTGCGTTGTCTTTTATCAACTATAGTCATGATATCAATAGAGGAAGTTTAAGATATGTTCCCTTGGCCCATGGTATTGCCATTTAGATGCTCATTTTTAGCGACAGAAACATTATCTTTTGTATACTTATTCATGACATGAAAATAATAAAATAATAAATTTCAATGTCAAACAGCACACAATATCAAAATGTCATATTTCACTAAAAGGCAATTCGAAAAGTCTGAATATTTTGCACAATACAGTCATTCATCTAATTGGTTTCTATCCGTTTATTGCCAGGGTAACGGCAGCCATTTTGAAAATTCCAAATTGAAACAGCGCAATTACACATGCCAATTAACAATTTTGTAAATTTTTATTAAGTTTGGAGCATTTTGAAATTTTCGACAATTTTGCTTGTTTCCATGTTAACAGTTTCCATTTCAAAATTCCAAAGACAGATACCATATTGGCACATGCCATGTTACATATCCAAATAGTTTTATTTGGTTTGATGTAATATTCTTTATGAAAATGCTGCTTTAATGAATTTTACCATAGGGTCAATGTTAAACTTTCCCCTTGTTTCCATGATAATGCCATCCATTTTGGAATTTCTCAATACTGTTTGCACATATAGGCATACCAGATAACATTTCCACTAACCAGACAAACAGCAAAACACAAACCAGATAAACACAACAAAACACTACACAAACAAACAAATAGCAAAACATCACACATGTAGTCAAACAACGAAACACTACATCTTATATAAGTTGGAATCATGCCAACCCAAAACCACTTGCCACTGAGCTGGTGATACGTTCGGGGACTAATAGTCCATCAGTAGCGGTAACGACCACAAGTTGTATGAAATGAATGCTAAGTAATCAACTCTGTGTATGGACTAGACCCAATTTTCTTTTGATAGTTTAAGTGTACTGTTCACATGGGATCATGGGCATACTTTGACGATGATAGGTCGAAATGAAGTTTGTTCGATGCGTGGGTCATTTTTGTATAAAACACTTTAATTTTCAAAAAGATCTTTTAAAATAGTATAAAGCTGCTTGATTATTTCATCGAAATATTTGTTAAACATGGTTTTACAACAGGCAGTTCTCCTTTCTATGGGGACCAAATGTTCTCCTCCATTCGTCGATCTGTTTTTGTTTACATGGGACAGACCTCAACAAATGAACATTCTCAATGAAATGATTTTCCTTTAACATCACGTTCCGGCATATAAATGATTGTTGTTAATTTATCGATTCGTTACCCTTGCAATTGAAATGAAGAATATCATAGCTTCATGCTTGCATCCAAAAATCTTTAGTTAGGAACGGCTAAGACTTAGCAACAAAAATTCAGCCATCATTAACTTTAAAAAAAAATTTTGTAGAGTCTACAAAAGCCAGACAAAGCGAGCCTTCATTCCAACGTGGGCGTTTTCGGCACGTTATATATCAATAACTTTAGAATAGAATAGCTTTTTCGTGATCAAAAAACAGTATGTAGAGCAAAATTTTGATAATCTATCTTTTTTCAATTTTCCTGTATTTTACTGATATAAGGTCCTATGTTAATATTTGCAGTTAACATTTAGAAATAGTCAGGGGTTCAAGTTTTATAGACAATAATAATTTTGTCAAACTGTCATAGAATTTTATGAAAGTTTGGCAGAAGCTTTTTGTGCATATTCCATTTAGTTTGGTTCAATAATTGAGATGTATGAGAATGGGGATATGCATTTCAGATATCTAAAGCATTTGAAATCTGATATTATGACATGACATAATGCTTACTTTTAGACATAAGAAGAGTGTTGATGTAAAACAGAAAAATTATGAGAACCCCCGTACTGGTGACGCTCCAGTTGTTACTGCTTATGAAATACCATGGTCAGAACAAGAAGATTTAAATCCCCCGTGGTCAGAAGACAACAGTGTTGACCATAATATTTACGACCATGCTTCTCACAAGGTACACCGAGAAAACAACGATTTCATGGTATACGATATGGCAGACAAAATAAATGATGAATACAGTATTACTGTCTTTAGAAAACAACAAGTTGATCCTGGATGTCAACAAAGCCAGAGTAACGAGTATCAACTTGATGATTATGACACCTGCGCAAGTGTAGAAATAGAAATACAATAGTCAAATTACATTTTTCATTATTGAAACGATTATCTTAATGAAAACCTTATTTTTTCTATAATGCAAATTGGTGGAAGATATTTGATCGAAAAATATCGGACGTTTAATCGCCAAGGTATAACCATTTGATAGCGCCCGATTCTTAACCAACATTAGCGATAGCTAAAATTATCTATATAAAAATAAGGAGATGAGGTATGATTGCCAATAATCAACTATCCACCAAAGTTCAAATAAAGTGGATGTAAGCAAATATAGGCTACCGTACGGCCTTCAACAATGAAAAAACCCATACCGTATAGTCTGCTATAAAAGGCCCCGACATGAAAAATATGAAATAATTCAGTTGAGAAAACTAACGGCCTAATTTATAACAGAACAATTAACGAAAAACAAATATGACAGACGTCAACCAACGACAACCATGCACTGAACTACAGGCTCCTGACTTGGGAAGCACATATAAATGTGGCGGGGTTAAATATGTTTGTGAGCTCTAAACCCTCCCCTAACCTGGGACAGTGGTGTAACAGCACAACGTAAGAACAAACTATAACAATCAATCAGTTGAAAAAGGCTTAACTCGTTAGATCGATACAAAGCAGAACAATATCAAACATAACACAGACTGGACGTGACAGGGTATATATCCATCCCTCATCCCTAACAACAAAAAGGACACTAAGTACAGATCTGAGAGTACTCGCAGTTACTGACAGCTAGTTCAAAGCCAATAACAGCTAAAAAAAATCATGTATTTAAGACTAAAATATCAATCAGTACACATCCAACATCCAATGGATTTAGTGTAAAGACGTCATTAACAGTCAGAGAAAAACATGACCTTGTGCAGTGCCAAAATAAAGGTGTCGACAGATTGTAGTACCGTTAAAGTGCATATGTGTCTAACAAAACTATTTAGTATGATTTTTATTAACTGATAACAAAATCAATATTTATACCAATAAAACAATATTCAAAGATCTAATTACAGTGTTGAATTGGTAACCTTTAAGCATAAGTTTATTTAAAGGATTGATAAGTTTACCCGGATCGTATATAAATTTCCGGGCTCGGTAAACAACACCGTAAAATTTAGGATGTGGTATTCGGAATTTAGACGAGTCTTTACTGAGTTTGGCCATAAACTGTGATTCATAACAGTACAGGAAAAAGTCTGCTATTAAAGGGGCACAATTGGTGCCCATAGTAATACCTACAATCTGTTGATAAACTTTATTGCCGAAACGTACATAAATGTTGTCAAGGAAAAAATAATTATGGCTGTAATCATCTCATCACACCTGCAGTAGGTATATCTAGCATATTTACCTTTCTCGTTTGAGAAAAAGGCTTTATATGAGTTGCAGCAAATAAATTTGCCATTAGATTTATCGAACGACCATTTAATTAAATAGGAAAAATTTTGTTTGATAAGATTATGTGGAAGTGTTGTGTAAAGAGTGGAAAAGTCAAATTTGTCAACCGAATCAATAGGACAATGAAAAGCACGTAATTTATCTAAAACATCCAAAGAATTTTTTACATTCCAAAAATGGTTAATTCCACTATTTTCATATGTTTTATTACAAAAATTAATGAACAGTTCTTTGATAGTAGTTAAGGAACTCGTTAAAAGCACTGAAATTCTAGTAGTAGAACATTTACTAGAGGCCGAGATGAAACGATATTTTACGTTTTTTTTTGTGTAGTTAAGGTAAACAATACATAGTGGGGACCTTCAAATGTTCAGAAGAGGCCTTAAGCTGAGCTGTGGTTGTGACATGATTATTTACTTTATGACTCTCTGTGGAGCGTACAGCCTTGAATGTAGTTGAATGTGTAATTTCATTCTTAAGGACTTTCGTGTAGTATTTACGTCATACCACCACCACATTGTTGGCTGCTTTGTCGACCGGTACGAACACAAAACGCTTTGCTAGTACTTGAATTTTGTTTTTACTTACTTAATCTTTTATTTATTTCTAAATTATTTTCGAAATGTGATATGCGAATATCAACA